TTGATCCCTTTTTTATAGACCTGGGAAAACAGAGGATGCTGTTTTTTCTAATACAGAAGAAGTCATATTTAGAAATTTTTTTTTATTTTATTTACATATTTTAAAAGACAGTCATAATTTTGTTACTGGTTGTTACAGATTTTGTTTTACTACAGAAGTTATTTCAGTACAATTTAGGTATAATATAGGATGTTCATTAACCTCTTGGAAGCATATCTGAATCTGTCTCGGCGCTGAGCAAAGTGTTCTCCTTTTTGGTCACCCTAGTCCAGGCGTATTTAATGTTTTCCAGTCCAAGGTCCCCCAGGCTGATGGCGAGATGGAGCGGGGATCCCCTAATTATATATATCGAATTAAATTTTGTTTTATCAACCTCGTCCTATAATCGCTCTTTTACTGATGGAGTAATGTAACGAAAGTAATCCCTCCCTGGGATTATTAAAGTATATCTGATTCCTGGTTGGTGGGACAGGTGTTGTGAATGAAACGGTGCCCAGCTTGAAAGAGCTCCTGTGTGTCGCTGAATGTGAGCAAGACATCTTCTGTCTCCATTTATCTGTTTATGACAGTGTGTTGAATGCATCTTAATTTGTATTTAAACACATTTCAATTAGTGGAAAAATTGCAGGGGGGAATATAAAAAAAAAAAAGTATAATTAACCAAAACTTTCACGACCCACATGCAGTACCTCGGTGGACCCCCTAGGGGTCGCGGACCCCTGGTTGAAGTCCTCCGCCCTAGTCTATGTAAACCTGCCAGGTAAGCAGATTGGTCTGTCCACACCAAGCCAATCCTGGCTTTGCTGGTTCAGTCAGTTTAAAGCAAAATAGTGCAAATTTATGCAAACAACTAAACATGAAAAGAAACATTTTTCCTAAATGATGTTACTGGTCAGGAAAACAACTTTCTAAATATCTTGTATCTGCATACGAACATCTCTGAGTCAGCTGTAATGAGTGGCAGTCACAAGACATCTTCTAATCCTTCCAGTTGGATCCCAGGAGAGAAGCCCCAGGGTTGAAGAGTAATTACCAGGCTCAGGCATCTTTGATCCTGCTCCTTTTGGGTCAGCGGTGGCGGCGGTGGTGTGCGTTTGTTGGGGGGTGCATGAGGAGTAGTTAGCCTTGATGATCTGCCAGGCTTTTATTCATCCGTTTTAAAAATATAAACATGATTGTTCAATGTTGTGCTGATCATCCAGACAGTTTCTTGGTTCATATCAGGAAAAATTATTCAGTCAACTGATGCGTGTTGATAGTTTTTTATAAAGCTTAAGAAATAGTCTATAAGTGAGGTGATAATATTCGTCTAAACCTCGTTATTAAGCTTTGACTCTCTAAACTTGTCAAGTTTAAATGCTATCAGTGAGTCTAAATGTATAACAGAATAAAACTGTGATGAGTTCATAACTAAGATTTGAATTTGTTGCACTGAACAGTCAGATTTTTCTAAAATAGTCCCCTCAATGGTGTGCAGCGTTCTCTTTAATCACACGTGAAAATAAAGGTTACAAAATGCGTATTCATGCTCAGAAAATAATCAGCGTCTGAAGTGTAAAATGGGAAGAAGAAAGTAGCAGGAAACGGGAAGCAGAAGACAAGACGAAAGGTTAAACGAAACAAAGAGCAAAAGGAAAAGGGGAAAATGAGCCGTGGGTGAGAGCTGCATGGGAGACATCTGCTGCTGAGACAATGCAGATTTAAGAATCGCTTTCTCTTTTCAGCCGCTCCCATCTATTATTCTGAGTACAGCCTGACTTTCTGCACAGAAAACAGCAGCCTCTGCAGGACAAAGCCCAGCAACACCAGCTCAACCAGCTATGTGTCGACAATTTGAGCCCAAAAAGCATAAAAGCTTCCAGCCTAAACCCCAACTTTTTTTACTGAAATAAAATTCCCCATTTAAAAGTCATATTAGAAAACAAAACCAGTGACTTTGCTTTAAACATTACAAGTAAACACTTCTAACTTTTTAGAGTAATTTAAACTTACCTCAGAGTCACAGTCCTAAGAAATCAAGTCCTGCTGCCAGAGACTTGGCTGCTTGAATGAAAAACTACCTCATTTACATTTACAAAACAGACTTGCATGAGAAAACAGAGGGTGGGTGCCTGAACATGTACAGCCTCAGTGAGAGGGGAGAAAGAAGAGGGGGGGAAAAAGAGAGGTAAAAGCTGACGTAAACAGAGAAGTAGTTATGACTGAGAGGCCACTAAGGGCCGAAAAACGGCGTGAGGGAGGGAACGCAGTGCAGGAAGTCAATAATGGCGAGTTGTAATAGTGTCTCCAAGGACAACGCAACAGAACATGTTCTAACTCTACTTGTTCCTTCAGTTTTCTGGCTTTCCAGGTGAGAAACACAAAGAAGGGTAAAATGCCAGGATAAAGATTCATTTACTTTTCAGATGCTTTTTTTCACGAGTTACAAGATGATAAAATTATATTTATAATCAACAATGTATAATCAACTGTCACAAATACAGAGCAACAAAACTCTCTCCATTTAACCCATTCCCTTGGGGAGCAGTGGGCTGCCATTGTGCGGCACCTGGGGAGCAGAGTGGGGTTAAGGGTCCTGCTCAGTGTTCCAGAGTTGAGGCTTTTGGAATCAAGCCAGGTTTCTTGCAGCCAGGCTCGGACTGGTAATCTGTGATACCGGGCATTTGCCCGGTGGGCCGGTCCTAATTTCAGCGTGAGGGGCGGCCCTCCTTAAATCATACCGGCCCCAACACTTACTCTCCGGCCGGAGCTCCTACCTGTGACAGTAAACAACTCAAGGAGCTCAAGAAGCAGTACAATGTTAACCACCTTAATGATGCATGCAGTATATTTAGCCCTTCCTTGTCATGCACATCATTTGTGACGGTTGGCATATGGTGTAATTTTTTATTACTTCAAACTGTAAAATCCTTGCAACAAACTAAATTATAATAAAACTAAAATGCTTTTTTTAAACCAAACTACAATGTTCCTCGTATATTTGACGAATTTATGCATCTATAGGCTAACGTTTCCCGTCTTACGTGCATTGTTGCCAGGTTGGGATGTTTCCCAATTTGGCAGTTTTGGATGGCCGTCTATGGGTGAAAAAATTTTTTCTTTTAGATTTATGGCCTAAGAGATCAATAGACTTTGGTTTAAATTGGGCGAGATTTCATATATCCAGGCGGTTTATTAACCTTTTTTGGGCTGGAAAACGATAGTCAGTGACATCTGGCAACCTTGCTGATGTGTTGAGTGTGGACGTTACGCAGCAGCAGCAGTCACTGCCGCATCCGTGTTGATAACCAAAGCCATAAAAGCCGTATTAAAGAAGTCTTGGTGAGGGTTGTTTTCCGAGCCTGCTTGCAACCTTCTCAGAGCACATTTCACTGCTCTAAAACTAGGCCAGTATTCCCCCCTAGGATCTGTGATTGTTTTTTTCTAACATGGTTCATTTTAACTGCAGGACCCAGAAATACCACAAAGAATTCTGATTTGCTAACAACATTAGCCAATCGCATCGAAAATCACACCGTTTTAGATCATTAACCTCAATAATCAAATTTCTTCAGACTTTGAATTATTGCTTCAGTGGAGAATGAGAGGGTAATATCATTGAAAAAAACATTTTAAATCAATAAACCAGAAATACATCAATATTTTACAGCATTTATATGACGTCTGGTCTGATGCTTCAAACATTAAAAATGTTTGGGTTTATGTTACGATACAGTAAAGTGTTTCTATTAAGAACCTAAAGCATCGTTTCAAATTGTTGAAATAATCTAGAACCTGGTTAAACTTTCTTTCTGATTCAACAAAATCTTTAAAAGGTTAAATCAGATCAGTGGGGAGTGTTTACTGTGTGACGGGGCAGCGCGGTCCCTCCCGCTGATATGCATGCACGCACACATACATACACAGA